GTCCCCTTCTTTTCAGTTTTTAAACTGTTTTCTTTTGTCTAGCTGCACTGCAGGCATGTATCGGGTTTTTTTTTCTTTTATAATTCTTTAATTTCTGCATTTATCTTATTTCTTTCTTTCTGTTTTTGCTTGGTTTACTTGTTCTTGTTGGCATTTTGACTTTCTTTTGGTTTTGGTCCTATTATCTATCTTTTTTTCATTGAATTTTCATGGAAGTATGTTTTCTACCATGACTATACAATGTTAATTCTACATTTTGGAATTGATTGCTGTTTTCTTTATGGATTAATATATAGTCAAGTTTTGTGAAAGTTCACATTAGAGTTTAATATTATCAAAGAAAACGTAGATATAATAATTATTAGTACACTATTTACTTGTTCAAAGGAAACCAGTAATGGGTTAATTTCATCTAATGAAGGCAAAAATGGGAATATTTTTGCAGTTTGGAAGCCATGGATTTTCTCTTCTTTGGGTGAGCTGCAGATTAGCTGGCAGCTAGCAAAGAGGCCAAGTCAAGGCATTGTGATCGTAGGCACCCAGATGGGTCAACAAAGAAAGCAATTCCAGTTGTTAAAAACTTTTGAGAAGACTGAGAGTTTTGCTATTGGCACAGGTGACACTGTCAGTGTCCTCTGTGACCTTGTCCACCAGGTCCATACCATCTCCCTTCTCAGAATCTCTCCATGTATGACAGTTAGATCATAATGTTATGATCTTCTAGAGCTTTACTTATTTTTTAAATTACCAATCTGCCACAACCAAGAGAGATGAATTACAGTTTCCTACTACCTAGGTTTTTCTTTCATTTCTCCTTATATCCTCTGTTGCTTTCACATATTTTTTCACATAAAATAATTTCACATAAAATTATTTGATTCACAGATATTCATTAACTGTTCACCTTTACTGTGAATTATAATCTTTAGCATTATATATACTGTCCCCTTTTTTCTGGTTGGTTTAATACATTTGGGCCTGAATTCAGCCTGTATTTTATTAAGATGTTGCTTTTTGAGGGTTTTTTTTTGGTATCTCTTTACTCATCCTGTGTTTTCAACCCTTCAGAATCATTTTATTTTTGTTGTAGCTCTGTTATATAGCATAGATTTGAGTTTTGCTTTGTGATTCAGTCTAAAATTCTTTTTAAGAAATGAGTTTAGGGGCGCCTGGGTGGCTCAGTTGGTTAAGCGACTGCCTTCGGCTCAGGTCATGATCCCAGGGTCCTGGGATCGAGTCCCGCATCGGGCTCCCTGCTCAGCAGGGAGTCTGCTTCTCCCTCTGACCCTCCCCCCTCTCATGCTCTCTCTCTCATTCTCTCTCAAATAAATAAAATCTTAAAAAAGAAAAAAAAGAAATGAGTTTAGCCCTTTTGTATTTATTTATTTGTATGTTTGGTCTTACTTCTGTCCTATTGTTATACTTTTTTGTATTTATACCGTCTATAAATATTTTACTATATAGACTGCTTGCTTTGTTTTCTGTATTTCTTTTGATAATTAGGAAGGTTTGTTCCAATAGTTACCTTTGTAATATCTTGATTGTATAACAGCCTCAGTTCTGTATTTATTCAGCCAGACTTTCAGTATTTGTAATTCCCTCCCATAAGTAATAACAAATGATCAGCTGGATTTCATTCAGATAAAAAACTTAGGCTCTGTGAAAGACAATGTCAAGAGAATGAGGAGACAAGCCACAGACTGGTAAAGACACATCTAAGAAAGGATTGTTATACAAAATATACAAAGAGGGGCACCTTGCTGGCTCAGTCCATAGAGTATTCAACTTAATCTCAGGGTTTTGAGTCTGAGCCCCACGTTGGGGATAGAGATTACTTAAAATAAAAAAAAAAGTGGAACACCCAAAATATACAAAAAACTCATAAAATTGACAATACGAAAATAACCTGAGGGGACCCTGGGTGGCTCAGTTGCTTGGGCATCTGACTCCTGATTTCGGCTCAGGTCATGATCGCAGGGTTGTGAGACTGAGCCCCGTGTCGGGCTCTATGCTCAGCACCGAGTCTGCTGGAGATTCTCTCCCTCTCCCTCTGCTCCTCCCCCCACTCGCACATAAGCACTCTCTAAAATGAGTGAATAAAACTAAAAAAAAAACACCATAAAAAATACCTGGTTAAAAACTGGGCTAAAGACCTTAAGATACCTCCCCAGATATACAGATGGCAAGTATACATAAGAAAAGTTGCTCCACATCATTTATCATCAGGGAAATGCAAATCAAAACAATGAGATACTATACACTACATACCCCTACACACACTACACACTTACAGAACAGCCAAAATCCCACTGACACCACCAAATGCTGATGAGGATATGGAGCAACAGGAACTCCCATTCACTGCTGGTGGGAATGCAAATGTACTACCACTTTGGAAGATAGTTTGGTGGTTTCTTACAAAATTAAACATACTCTTAACCACACAACCCAGCAATCTCACTCTTTGGTACTTACCCCAAAGAGCTGAAAACTGACATCCACAGTAAAACCTGCATACATGTTGATAGCAGTTTTACTCATAACTGTTGAAACTTGGAAGCAGCCAAGATGTCCTTCAGTAGGTGAGTGGATAAACTGTGATCCACCCAGACAACGGAATATTCAGCACTAAGAAGAGCTAACAAGCTATGAAAAGACATGATGTAAATTGACACATATCACTAAGTGAAAGAAGCCAATCCGAAAAGGCTATGTACTGTATGGCCCCAACTATATGACATTCTGGAAAAGGAGAAACTGTGGAGACAATAAAAAGATTAGTGGTTGCCAGGGGTTGGGGATGGGGGAAAGGGACGGCATGGGGAGGGATGAATAAACAGATTACAGAGGATTTTTAGCAGTGAAAATACATAGTATGATACTGTAATGATGGGTACATGCCATTATACTTTTGTCTAAACCCATAGAATGTCCACCACCAAGAGTGAACCATAATGTAAACTATGGACTTTGATTATGATGTGTTAGTGTAGATTCATCAGTTGTAATAAATATACCACTCTGGGGCAGGACGTTGATAATGGGGGAGAATGTGCATGTATGGGGTAGTGGGCACATGGGAAATTTCTGTACCTTCTGAATTTTGCTCTAAAAATTCTAAAACTGCTCTAAAAAAAAGTCTTTAAAGGGGCACCGGCTTGGCTTAGTCAGTTGGGCGCCTGCCTTTGGCTCAGTCACGATCCCGGGGTCCTGGGATCGAGCCCTGTGTCAGGCTTCCTGCTCAGTGGGGAGCATCTTTCTCCCTCTCCCTCTCCCAGCTTGTTCTCTAATAGATAAATAGAATCTTTAAAGAAAAAATGTCTTTAAAATAATAATAAAAAGAATGGCAGTTGGGTAGGGATAGGGTAGCAGCCTACCCCTACTTTTCCATTGGAAAGCTGGAGCTTGGTCTTCATGCTTTCCACCTACTGTATTTTTTACTTTTTTTTTTTTTTTTTTTAATCTAAGGGATTTTAAAATGGATGTTGGGTGCTTCCTAAATGAAGATAATATTAAACTGAGTTCCAGACTATACCACTGTTAACTGCTCCAATGTGAAAGTTGTATCAAGCTAAATATAAGCTGCTTGAGGTTAGGGAGGTTAAGTTTTTCACCATGTGCTTGAAGACAAATGATGGATATAAACTTGTTACATGGGGTTCAGAACTGCCTCCACGTAAAGCTACCTGCCCTGGTCTAGAATGCTTGTTGTTTTCTTAAATTCAGCCTTAAAGAACGTTGTATATTAACTGACTCGAGGTCTGTTGCTAAACCCTGGCACTGTGCCAGAGCAAGGGACAATACAGAGGACTAATTTTAAAAATGCTTCTTAGTACATTAGTAAAATGTTAAAATTTTACTCTTCAAAACAATTTCTATCTGCTGAGTTTTAAGTGGCAAATGATACATATACTTAGGTGAACAGACCATTCTCACTCACTGTTGACCCTGCTTCCTCTCACACCCTTGACCATCTTGTGCCCCTACTTTTCTGAGATCAGACTTCAAATTTTCTGAAGTATGTGTTGTTTGAGAAATCAGATGCTGCAATTGCTAATATACTGATTTTAAGCTCAAAAGGCCAGAAGCTGTGTCCAACATACTTTCGTGGGCTTTGATGCTCAGTATGAATACATAATCAATGGACAAGAGTTTCCTACCACTTCAGTTATACTCTACATCTGGATGGCTTTTAGTAAATATAATTAGGATTCCAAGTCTGACTAATATGATGACATGGTTCACTGAAGCTACAAATATATGTCAAATATATTTAAAACAAAACGCTAAAGCCATTTTACTGAAAACTAGTTTTATTTTAAAATTAAGTGCATAGCACTCATCTAATTCCATTGGTGTAGAATTTAGCACCATACTCGCTATTTGCAATTAATGTCACAACACAGATACATTTTGGTTTGCAGTCTGTACTTGAGTAGTGTTTATTTAGTGGACTTTGGTAAAGCCCTTTATACATATCATTAATCTCTTCACAGTACACATTTAATGATGGTCCAGTAATCTCAAAAAAAAAAAAAAAAAAGACCTACTTTAAAGACTAACCAATAAATTAAACAAAACAAAACCCACACAACTCCCCCCACCCCCATCCCGCAAGGCTAGCAGTTGTGAGCTATTATTTATATTGAAACTTAATGTTTTAAAAATAGTTCTGATTCTCCAACCACCCCATTCCACCCCACCCTGGGTATGCAGCAATAGTAACCAATTAATTATTTTATTCTACCCCCCACAAAATTAATCCAGTGTTCTTTAGCTTTTTTAAATACAAACTGGGAAAGTGTTATAAGCTTTTTAAAAAGGCATATTCTTCTATAACAAGAATGACATTTAAACCAATCAATAAAAGCATTTGACAAGACATTAAATTACCATAGGCACCGGTTGTTGTTTCAAGTTGGGATCTCTATCCCAATATCTTACATTCATAGCATTATTGAGGTAGTTAAAATACTGAAAATTGGACTCCAGATGCTGGGTTCTGAATGTGAATGTGAAAGATATATTCTCTTTTGAACCCACTTTCCCCCAAATAATTCAAGCTCTCTTTGAGGTAAGAACTACCAAAATCCAATTAGCAGCCTTCTGTAAAGAGGAAAAGTGATTACACTTTCAGAAAAACAATTTTCAGGGTTGAAAACATGAGTGAGTGTTCTTACCTGAGTGGTTTTTTATCTACCAGACTAATAAATCCACATCATGCCCTATGTACTCTAATTATAAAAGTTACCATTCTTTTAAGGAGAGGACATTCTCTAGGAATTCACGCTGGCAGAAGCCACCCACCCACATTTATCCACTGGAGCCATCTGATCAATCCACTACTGCGTTGAGTCCCTTCCCTTCCTAACAAAAGCCATCGGCGTGATTACTGAGACTCCAGCTGCATACCCACAACGTCTTTATAATAAGTTTGTCTTCAATGCATATTGTGGCAGTCACACACCTGCCATGCAGTTTCCCTTCTATTCAAGTGCTATCTTTAAAAAAACACAAACAAAAAGACACACCTCACTAATTTTTAAATCAGAAAGCTTCCCTCCACCAAATCTCTCTTCTCCCACAGATAAGAGCACAATGTATAGTTTCAGTTATTACAATGCTTTCTTTTTTACTTTTTATTCCCTCCGAACTCTCTCCCCCCCACTGCCCTTGCTGTAATGACGACTTATTGCTGTTTTCACTCATTACCGACACAGTGAAATGTCCCAGGGCCGTTCTGGGGCTAATGTAATCCAAGTGGCTGCTGCAGTCCAGTACTGGGTTCCTTCGCTGATACACAGATGGGCTTGGATTGCAAGGCTGCTTGTAAAACTTGCCCTCCACGTGACAACGTGCTGCTCTAGCACAACCTGAGAACTACCCTGGCCACATTCCACTTCCAAATAAACCTACAGGACTTCATTCTAGTACTGACATTTTACCGTTATGCCTTCCCTTGAAAAAACTTCTAGAGTAACAGCAAATCTGAGTATAAATCATTGATTGCACTGAGAAATGCAAAACCTATATATGGATTATGAATGATAGGAACCACTTCATTCATTCTAAGCTACAATTAGGTTCTCAGTTGAAAACACATCCTAGCAAGAGTATTGTTATTAACCTATGTTATAAAGGTAGTTCATACTATAACATTCCCAAAGCATGTTGCATTACAGTTAAGTGTTTCCAAGTAGTACAAATTCCCTGAGTTAAATGTGTTTTAATCCTAAAGATTTGAGGTTGATCACTTAGGGCAAAAAAACAACAAAAATTTATGACCATGATTTTAAGAGATCTACTCCACCCTTAATTTTAGTACATAAATCCAGATACCTATATATTGAGATAGGAAGTTATAGAGACTCATCTAAAAAAAAATTTTTTTTTTTTACTGCACAGATTGGTAGAGCATAGCAATTCATGAGTTTAAACTCAGTCAAAAATTCATTTATAGACCAAAAATGTAACTCAAAACTGCAGAATAAAAAAAAAAGGACCTCTTCAAAAATTAATACTGTAACTTTCCTTCATAAAAAGACCATTTGGCAAGTCCACAGATAAACATTAGTCTCTGACATATAAGCCAACATTAGGCCCAGAGCCCACCACAGATCAAATCTCAAAATGGCGATTTAGAGTCTGTCCAAATTTTCTGTTGTATTGAATATTTTTGAAATATTTGGACCATCAGCCAGGGCTTGAAAGTTTTTGTCATATAAGGATGTGTTTTAACAGGATTTGATATACATACTGTTAAAGTGTTTGCAGTGTTGGTTCAGTCCTCCCCGGTATTCGTGGCGCACTGAAAGGGATATTCTGTCTTCCTAATGCTGGTATCCGAAGCATTCTGATGCAATCTGGATCCCTTTCCTTTTGAAGAGAACTTTACAAAAAGCTTGCCCCAGAGCTTCAAGTCACAGAACAGCCTGGGTCAGGAATTACCTTCACATAACATCACCTTTCAAAGCAGGGAGTGATGCAAGGGTAATGTTCATTTATCTGATAACTCCGGTTATAAGAAACATTCAGACAGGGCTTAACTTCTACTGGTATTGCCAGGGACATCCCGACACCAGTCTGCACGTGCCCAAGGCCCTGCACACTGGTTTGGAAGCCAGCAGGACACGTCTGTAGTGTGTAAGACGAGGTGTGTGTGGTAGATGCAATCTGCGGGCAGCTTGGCTGCTCGGCTACAGGATGGCGGTACTGCAGCGGGGTGTGGTGCGTCTGATGGAGATAGTGGGGCTGCTGAAAGTGAACTGGCCGCGAGGCCTGGGAGGCTGACTGCAGCACACTCAGCTGCGCCGGCTGGGCCCCCGCCTGGCCTCTCTGTTTGTTTGCCTCTTTCACATCGTTATCATGCGCGCTGTACGGAGAGAGAGAAAACTGTTAATAACGGTACTTCCACTCTTCAACGGCTGACTCCGCGGACGGCCCCACCGCCTACACGGCAGTCACTTTAACCGGAATTCCGACAACGGTGCGATCTCACTCTTATCCTTCTAAAAAGCTCCTTCCTTTGGCACAAACCTTGGGAACTCGCTGCTGGTAGCCTGGAGGCCTATTTCCTGCTTGGGAAATATATCCACAATAAGCACTTGAACACCGCTGCCCCTTTGGTGACACCCTGGTGGCGCCACAATTCAAAGGTGTGGAAAGAAGGAGCAGGGCAAGAGCTGCCCGGAGTGATCTGGGTTACGGGCTCACTCACGCAGAGCATGCCGTGTACCCAGAATCGTGACGGCAGCGACAGCCTCTCCCCAGGAAACAGCCCAGGTGCAGCCTCCCGCCAAGCACTGCTCACGGCAGCCAGCAACGGTCAGGGCCGGTGTCCTAAAAGCTCTGGGCTTGCGAGAAGTTGTTTGTAGGGCCCCTTATCCATGAAGAAAAATACTGAGCAATCACAAACACAAGATTAAGGAGGCTTACATCAATAGCCGTTCAATGCACTGCACTAAAAAATCCCAGGAGTAAGCAGTAAGACGATGCAGTCTTGTAGGCCACGTTGGAGAAAGACGAAGTATAATCCTTGAAGAAGCCACACATGCAGCAGCTACTAAAGAAGGTGCATAATTTAGAAAGGCATAATCTGTGGAGACATCAAAAATGAACTTAAGCAACAGAATACACAAGTCACCAGCTCCCATGTCACCTCCTGGCATCCACAATGACTCACCTTGCAAAGATACTTCCAGGAAATAATCTGCATACTTGGCCATGTAGAGTTTCGTTTTCTCCAAGCAAATCATCGGCCAGCCATCATGAAGATCTGTTTCGTGTACTGCTTCGGAGAGATAATACTCAATGAAATGGGCAGCTGTTGGAAGGCAGAGGTTCCACTGAAAGGTTTCTAATAGTAACAGTTCCATATGTAGCAAATTTTGCTTTGTTAATACTAGATTCATATTAGTCATACAACCCAGGCTGTTGAGCTGTTCCAGCTTAGGCACACTATCTTCTTTTTCTTCAAATTTACCTTATAAGCAAAGGGGGGGGAGAGAGAGAAAGAAAGGTTACACAAGCCATCATATTATGGGATTTGCTGTCTCACTGCAAAGATTTAGATGCAAAGACATTCTTTCTCCTACCTCGGGCCGATACAATTGTGCCAGAACTCTGGCTCTCATATTCTGCGTGTTTTCTTTCCTCCTGCCCCCATCCCCTGTCCCTCACCCTCCTCTAAAAAAAATGGAACATGTAAACATGCTGACCTATGTGACACTACATAATGAAAATAGTCCTATGTGCCAATGAAAAAATAACTCTCTCAGATCTCACCAGCCGAATATTTCCAGGAAATTTCTTTTGGGGAGGGAGAACAGGCAGTGGTCAGTGGAAGAAAATTAGTTTATTTTAGAATAGAAGAAAGTGTAAAGAATTTAATGTCTGAAGTTATCTGAAATGAATAACTTCATTATCTGAAAATACTGAGTTATCTGAAATCAATAGTAGCTAAGCTTCAAGTGTTTCATCTTGGTGTATTTTTCAGAACAATCTCAATTCTAGAGAGACAGCAGGAGAAAAAAACTGGGTGAATATCTAATAAGCCTTCTCATTCCACAGAGCAACCTCCTCTTCAGAATTCAAAACAGAAACCTAGCTAAATCTGTTAGCAAAAAAGGGAGGGGAGGATACTTTTTATCTACTTTTATAACCTCTTCCTGAAAGCAGAATAGAAGTAGACAATCTGATGGCTGGACTTCATTATTCTAAGGCATTAACTTCTTTTCAGGAAATATTCATCCATATGTACAGCTGAGAAACAGAATTCCCTCAGAATTCTAGCCCCAGAATAATGTTCCTACAGGTTTTGTACCATCTTACACTTTAATCTTAACTATACAAAAATCATTCATTTTAGGTATCTCTAGAACTTATGGCTGGAGAAAATTGAAACTATCAAGTACCAGTATGGTTTTCCAGATGCAGCAATAGAACCAAAGAATTGTCTTCAAGTTTCTTTGGGTTCATTCCACAGTGGTCCATAGAAGAAGGGAAATTAACTAAAACCTTCTACCTTCTAGTATTATGTTCTATTTTACATTAAAGTTTAAAACAGTCATATTATATTGCAATTATTCCTAATTGTATGCAACACAATCTATCATACAGATTTCTCACAACAGCTTTTATGCTTGCTCAAAATTACAGTTGTTAGACTATGTTACATATTACTGTATAAAATTTTTTGTTTTACTATTTTGATAACTTTTTCAACATATTTGGTTTCCTTGGAAATCTTCTAATTTTATTTTATCCATTAAAAACATACTTTGGAGAAGAGCCAGAAAGACTGCCAAGCAGTAGAAACCAGGCAGGCTTCCCTGGGAAATTTCTCTTCCAGAAGGGCTGGGTTTGTATCACCCACTGGAGGTACTACAACAAATGGCAGTGGCCCTCGGGACAGATGTTCAATGGACTGGACCCAGTGGGCCTGCCTCAGGGCTGGGGAAAAGCACTGCTGACTACTTGGGTCTTTGCTTGGAGGGTGGGAGAACTGGAGTAGAAGGCTGTGTCTCCTATGCCAGGAGAGTCAAAGCTCATGACTTGAAGAAGAGTTGGAGCCCAAAGAGAATTCCTCTCCCGCCTCAGAAATTCTGACCTTCTTTAAATCTAAATTATTCTTAACACTAAATATTGCTGTGGGTAGGAGTTGATTTAAAAAAAAGTACACAATTCAGACTTTTAAAGAATCTAGACAGCCCTTCCCAATTCAAATCACATAGAGAAGAATTTCCCAAGTTTTTCCGATATGATATACTTAGTACAGCCAAATGCACTAACATGGTCTTTAGAACATGGTCATCCAGCATCATCACTGCATAAAGACACAGGAAAGGAACCACCGCTCTCAGTGTCAGAGTGGAGAATGTCCCAGGAATTTAGTTCAGTCCCTCTGGATGAATCATTAAGGTTCTTCAAGTAAGTACCCTGCCATGTGCAGCAGTGACACTAGCAATACACTTCAAAGGACCATCGTAAAAACTCATGTGTTTATTTATATCATGCTTGAAGTTCCTTTGAAGAAACTAATACACCATAATTCACTGTTTAACTCAAGGATCAAGAATGTTCCATATTATCTTCCTGAAACTTTCAACATTGAAAACAAAACTGTATATGACTAATTTCAAAGCTCAAAAAAACCAAGATAGTGAGGTTGGCCAATTCATTTAAGGTCAAGTAAGTTGAATCAAATAAAAAATGGAAGCCAAAAAGGAAGACTTATGTTTGAATTCCCAAATCTGTACTTCTAGATCAAAGTATTGCACTGGGTTATATGGGAACGACAACTATCAAAACAGACAAGATGTCAATATTATTAAGCATCTACGTGGTTTCTGTATTTATAAAGTACTTGGCTAATCCAAGTGTGAAAGCCTTTGCAACTTGACATGTAGAGTTAAAAATAACCTTGAACTACATAAATAACCATACTTGGGATTTTATTCAGGCTTATGTTTTTTGGAACTTTTTCATTATATATAGTGACATAAATATTCAGAATCACGGAAACTAAAGGATTTCAAAATGTGTGACAGTGTCAGTGAGTACCTGCATTCGTATCCATAGTTTTTGTTGTGCTGAAAGCTATGTGCATGGGTATTTTAAATCTACTTATCTGTAATACCACATACAGGTCCCAAACATCAGTTTCTTCAATTGAAAGGAAATACCAGAAGCCATGTGATTATATTGATAAAGGCCTCAAACAGGAAATAAGGGCACAGGAAATTCACATCTGCTTCCCAGAAAATAAGGAATTAGACGCCACAGAAACAAAACATCAGACTTTCTTTCCTTTATAGGAAATGCTCAGATCAGCCATGGAAACGAGCACATTTTCAAAGCCAGCAGTGAACGGCAGGTATGTGGCAGAAGGGCAAGGATCAAATGTCATACTGTAAGCTCTGCCAATCCACATTTGATTCTGTTAGTACCGAGTAGGGAAAAAAGTCATCCTTAATATATACCAAGGATTTTCACAAATTTGTAAGACTACCAATCTAATGGAAAAACAGGTAAGGAACAGGAAAAGACAATTCATAGGGGGGGAATAAAAGGTTCTATTCTCATTAAAAATTGAGATGTAAATCAAATCAACTATGAGATAAAATTCTGACCTTTCAGTTAATTAAGTAAAAAGCTCTGTCAACCCGTTACTGGTAAGCAAGGAGAAACAAGCACTTATCACAGATTTTTCTACTAACAGCCTATAATCTTACTTTGGCTTCATCCTGATTCTGCGATCATTTCTTAGTTACACAAATTATCAAAAGCCTCATCTCCAAGACTGCTTTCATGTTCTCCACAAGTTCAGTGCTGATCAAAGAAGCCAAGGGAGGCCAGGGTATACATGACAAAGAGTTGGAATTTCAGAATTTCCCAGGATAATTGGAGACTTTTCTGGAAAGAGCCAGAATCTTTAGGGCTAGGGAGCCAGATTAAAGATTACAGAACAGATTATGGCAGAATTAATCATTACAATGCTGACTTTTGTTTCAATTTCCTATGTGCTTTTAAACATCTTACCCACTTGATCCTCACAACAACTTTGTCAGTTAAATGTCTTTATTTTCATTTTATGGACAAGTAACTTCAGACTTAAGGGCTGTTGAAATTCATATTGCTGACAAGACATACAAACCTAGGAAATTCATCACTGTAATCCCTACTCTAAAACACTGCATACCCCTCCTCTCCAATCAAGGACAGTCTGTAGGTCCTTTCTTCCTACTTCCAATAGTGCAAACACAGGCAGCTGGGTATGCATACCTGGAACTTATACCCTGTGCTCGATCTTTGGCCAAACTAAGGACAGCCTCCCATCCTACTTAACAAGTGGAATCCAACCGTCACCCCGTCCTGTCAGCTGTAAGCTGCTCTTCACTTTTACACAACAGGCTGCCCATCCTAAAGCAGGTAGCAGCTGGAGAAGGACATACAAAGTTCAATCATTCTGGGAGGAGATAAGCATTACTTAAAGTTTATGAAACCTAACTGGAGAGCTGCCAAAGGTAAGAAGAGTGTAAGAATGTAAAAAACACTAGAATGTATTCCACAAATTAAAAACAGACATTAGAGGGCGCCTGGGTGGCTCAGTTGGTTGGGCGACTGCCTTCGGCTCAGGTCATGATCCTGGAGTCCTGGGATCGAGTCCCACATCGGGCTCCCTGCTCAGCAGGGAGTCTGCTTCTCCCCCGACCCTCCCCACTCTCATGCTCTATCTCATTCTCTCTCTCAAATAAAAATAAATAAAATCTTTAAAAAAAAACAGACATTAGATACTAAAAACAGGCTACTAGTTTATAAGCACCTTAAGTGCTTTTGTTGCAGTAAAGTTACAGAGCAGAGGCAGGAGAGATTGTAGCCAACTACTAAGAGCCAGCCTCTTTGATTCCTGACCCAAGCACAGAGCTGACAGCTTGAACTTTTTTTTTTAAAGAAAGATTTTATTTTTAAGTAATCTCTACACACAACATGGGGCTTGAACTTACAACCCTGACAGCTTGAACTCTTGCCCACTACCTACCTGGAGGGGCTGAGACCCTGGGAGACACCTACCTCATACTCTTCCATTCTCCAGTGGGAAAGGAACAATGGAAAAACAATTCTCTCTCAGGGAAAGAGAGGGTAAGGGGTGTCAGTAGAACAAAAGGAGGAGGTATCTGACTCTTTCAGTAACAGCTGATTAACAATTCATATTTGAACCACAGCAAATACAAATCCTAAAGCCTAGTTCCTGGAAAATGTGCAAAATCATCTTCAATAAAATAAACTGATCATAATCTTAAACAATAATTAAAAAAAGAACAGCTGAAAACTCCATTCCAATCAACCTAAGATGGTGTGCAAATAAAGTATCCTTCCCCCAAACTGTACAAATTGCAGAAACTTGGCACCAATGCCAAGCACTGCATGGTGGCCAGAAATCTTAATAGATTATTTGACTAGAGTCCCCAGTGAACTTTCGCAATAACATGTGGTTTATGAGTATCTAGTTTAGTATCCCCTAATTCTTTGATAAGTTACCAGTAAGTAAACTTAAGTCACAAATATAAGTCAGTCCATGAACTCTACATCATTCATAATTTCACAGTCCAGCAGCAAGAATCTCCCACTTGGTCTGCACCACACTTTTAAGAATCTCAGGCATAGAGCAAACGGGACTTGGTAGTGGTAAAAGCACAGTGACAGCCAAAACAGGCAAAAATCATTTTTCATTAACGATCCAAAGTTTTTAAAATAACCTAACTTGTGTATGTGATTTCCAGTATCTCTCTTCTATAAACTGATCCTATTATAAACTAACATTTTGTAGGATAACAAGAAACCATTCCATGTGTGGATTCTCACACATCCGATACGTCAAGGATGGGTTTTTCTAGTCCTATGCAAACTATGAAACCACAAAGGGCTTCACAGACAGTGATGAAACATATACAGAATTGTACATGAGATTGCTTATGAGAATGACACTCTGATTAAAGGTTAAAGGTTAATTATAAATGCAAGTATTACCTCTCCAGCTTTCTGGGTAGAGGGAGAAGAACAGGTGATGTGTCTGAATCTTAGAGGACAACAGATTAAAGGAGAAATACGGATTTTCAGGAAATAGATGGTATTCTGGTAAGACTTTGGCTCAAGGTGCATGGGAATAGGGTGGGACGATAAGACTGGAAAGGTGGCGGGGTCTAGACGAAAGGTTCTAAATGTTACATTAAGGAGTTTCTACCTTAACCCATAGGGAGTGGGAAGTCATTACTGGGGCTGTGTTTATTTATATTCAGCCGGGTCCACAAAGGATTTGAAATAATTTAAAAAAGACCTCCAAGGAGACAAAATCAGATCAAAGGAATAATAAGGGTAGAAAAAGAAATCTGTCCTAGAAATGATTACACAGGTCTGCATTTGGTTTTAGGTTTACTTGCAGTCTAAGAACAAAGTTGTTCTAGAAAGAACTCTGGTGGCAGGGTATGGGGGAATGTTCCTTAGACAGCAGCCATACAAGATCCCAAACCTCAAGTGGGGGTTAGAGATGAAGGCAGTAGGTATTTCTACATCCTACTTTAAAGTGGTGTTTACATTCCTATTGTAATGTCATAAATAATATAAAGAGTAATGAATTCAATTTCAATATTATATACAATCTTTCTCACATTACTAAAAGAAGAAAAACCCAATTTCAATTCCTTTACTCATCCTCTTTCTCTTTGGTCAAGGTACTAACAATGAAATAATTTACAGGAAGAAGCTAAAAGAAAGAGGCACCAAAAGACCCACCAGTACATTCTGCATCAGGTAACAAATACGGTTTATCAGAGTCTACCTTGCAGCTGACCACGGAACTGTGCCTACTGCAGAAGCAAAGTCCTCCCCATTTGTAGCAGAGGCCTGTGAATCTTTAGTTCATTAAGCCAACTCATTATGTAGTCAGTAGAAGGTATTCTAACAATACAAGAGTACAGTATCTTTTAGACAGAGTTTCTCAATCTAGTTCCACTGATATTTTGGGCCAGTAATTCCTTATTGGGGGCTGTCCTGTATATTGTAGGAATTTAGTAGCATCCCAGACCTCTCCTCACTAGATCCTAGCAGCATCCTCCCAGGTTGTGACAAAAACCAAAACCGGCTTCACTCAAAGCCAACTATTTCTTGTGGGGCACAGTTTTTCGCAGTTGAGAACTTTAAGGCAATGGTTCTCAATTGGAAAAGTACATCAGAATCACCTCTGGAACTCGAGCCCCATGATACAGATTCTGAGTCAGTAGATCTGGAGTGGCCTAGACTTTTGTAGCAGAATCTTCAGGATGTAGGGCTTAAGAACATGTTTTCAAAAGACTGCAGAGCCACTTCTTAATGTCTAGTTAAAAATTATTATGCCAAGAAGCACTTTCAACATAAACTTTCTGATATTAGTAAATTGGAATGAATGGAATCTGGTGATATTTCACTGAGCTCTACATACATTTTCTTTATTATAAACAATGGAAATTTCCAGTCATATACATGAGGTTCATACTTACTTGCTAAAAGCAGACAGGAAAGTGCAACTAAATGCAGCTGCTGGATAGATATGTCATATCGATCCATAAATAAGTCCAGCAAATAGACAGCAAGATGTCGGGCAGAAGGGCAGAGGGTGAAGCGATTGCTCACAATGGCAATCAGGTCAGCAAAATACCTTCTGAGACTTAGTTGAGGGGACTGGCCTTTGTAGGAAGGCAACTTCAGCTCCTGTATCAAGAGGAACAATATTTAGTCTAACAGCCCGTAGGAGTAGTATACCTGCACAATGCAAAGACGACCCCCCCCAATATATTAGTGTTAACAAGTGCCTAGAACACTTTTCTTGAAAGAAACACAAACATGAAAAAGTTGATTGGAAGGATAATGAACAGTATTAATTAACAGCACTTGATTTAAAATTTAAAACCAAACTTTTCTCCTTCATTTTTAACCATTTCTGATGTGAAAAATTGTGTTTCTTGCATTACAGAATGGATATATTCCAGCAAGATTTTTGTATCTTATTTTCCTTACCAGGTGTTTTCAGAAAAACATCCTTATCAAAATCCCAACCACACAATACATACACAGCCCTTCCAGAAAGCTCAAAGCTTTGGATCAGAGGGTAACAGGGAAGTGAATATGCTCCTGGTATGTCACATGCTTTACTACACTTGCAGAGGTATGGAAGGCAGAGACTAGTATTCATCCACTAGTATCTTCTAAGCATGTTTCCCTTTTAGCAGTTTTATGATGCTCTCCTTTGCCATTACCTTTTCATATACCTAAAATTTCTCCCCTCATTGCTGTTCAATCTCAGAATTGTATGAACCCATTTTTTTCAAGTTAGAAATTTTCTGTAGTACTAAAGTATTTCCACAGCATAGAGAAAGACAGGTTCTAAATTATTTCATGAGATCAGCATAATACTAAAACTAAACCCAACAGGTATCACAATAGCAGGAAATTACAGATATGACCCCAAAAGCACAGGCAAAAAAAGATAAATGAGACTTCATCAAAATTTAAAACTTTTGTGTATCAAAGTTCACTCTTTTCAAGAGAGGGAAAAGGCAATCCACAGAATGGGAGAAAATATTTGCAAATCATATTCGGGCAAGAGGTTAATATCCAGATTATATAAAGAATTCTTTTATACATGCAATCCAACAACAAAAAAACAACTTGCTTAAAAATGGGTAAAAGATATGAAAATCATTTCTCCAAAGAAGACATATAAATGGCTAATAAACACGTATAAAGATGCTCAACATTACTAATCATTAGGGAAATGCAAATCAAAACCATTATGAGATAACATTTCACACCCACTGGGATTGCTATTATCAAAAAAAACACAGGGGCACCTGGGTGGCTCAGTTGGTTAAGCATCCGACTTGATTTTGGTTCAGGTCTGGGAGTTGTGAGATGGGAGTCATGAGATGGAGCTCTGCATTGTGCTCCATGCTGGGTGTGGAGCCTGCTTGAGATTCTTTCCTCTCCCTCTAGCCCTCTCTTTCTCTCAACAAAGCAAAATAACCATAGAAACAGAAAACAAAATTAACAAGTGTTGATAAGAATGTGAAAAACTGGAAGCTTTGTGTAATGGTGGGAATATAAAATTGCATAGACACTGAACAATGGTATTGCAATTCCTCAAAAAAAATTAAACACAGAATCACTATATGATCCAGCAATTCACTTTTAGGTATACACCAAGAAGAACTGAAGAAGGGACTAAGATATTTGTATATATATTGACAGCAGCATTATCCACAAAAGCCAAAAGGTGGAAACAATCCATCAACATATGAATGGATAAACAAAATGTATTTTAGTTTAAGAAGATGACAGGGCTCCTGGGTGGCTCAGTCGTTAAGCGTCTGCCTTCGGCTCAGGTCATGATCCCAGGGTCCTGGGATCGAGCCCCACATCGGGCTCCCTGCTCAGCAGGAAGCCTGCTTCACCCTCTCCCACTCCCCCTGCTTGTGTTCCCTCTCTCACTGTCTGTCAAATAAATAAATAAAATCTTGAAAAAAAAAAAGAAGATGAAAAAGTTCTGAAGATGGAGAGTGGTGAAAGTAGCAGAATGTAAATGTACCAAAAGTCACTGAACTGGACACTTAAATATGGTTAAAGTTCTATGTTGTGGACATTTTACAATAAACAAACACCAAAAACCGAAGTTATGTATCTAACTTAGTAAGGTATAAAACTTTAGATAAAATGTTAGCCAATGTAATTTAATAGTATATCCAAAGAATATCATCAATTGTAGTACATCCCAGGAATTCAAAGATGGTTTAATATCAGGAAATCTACTACTATAAATCATAATTTAAAAATCACACATGAATATTCACAATCATCTTGATAGATGCCAAAATAGCATCTGGACAAAGGTGACCCTGGGAGAAATAATATCAGATGTATATTTCTTTGATGAAGGAGGGAAGGTAAAAAAAAAAAAAAAAAAAAACCTCAAATTAAAGAGCCAGCATCTCACTTGAAGATAAAACAGTAGAAGGATTAGCATTCTAGTGCTTGCTATTGCAATATTACTTAACATTATTCCGTGAACACTAACTAATCCAAATAGAAAAAAGAAAGAAAAGGTTTAATGACTGGAAAAGGAGAATCAAAAGTCAGTAATAGGAAAAAAAATATTTTTTAGATGATAGAATTTATATCCAAGAAAACCAACAGAAAAAATAAACAGTATTCAGTAAGACGGCTGTTCACAAAATTAATATTAAAAAAATCAATAGCCTGGGGGTGCCTTTGGCTCAGGTCATGATCCCAGGGTCCTGGGATGGAGCCCAGCATCGCTTCTCCCTCTCCCTCTGCCTGCCGCTCTCCCTGCTTGTGCTCTGTCAAATAAAATCTTAAAAACAAAAACAAAAACAATAGCCTACTTACATATTAACTGGTTAGAAAACAGAAGATTCCATACAAAGTAACTATAAAAATTAAAACATCTAGAAAAAATATTTATATTTCAGCACTCTACGAAGGTAACATTAAAATTCTAAAGGAGTATGGAAGACTTGCATACATACTCCATCTCACGACTCCCATTTTTCTTGGATAAAGAAATCGATTTGATAACAATGGCATTTCAAATCAGGAGAATAGATGAATTTAATAAATGTTTCTGACACATAGGACAGAGTGAATTTCTCTATTATTTAGAGAAATCCTACACATACACATCGATAAGAAAAAGGCAACATTTAGGGGTGCCTGGGTGGCTCAGTCGTTAAGCGTCTGCCTTTGGCTCAGGTCATGATCCCAGGATCCTGGGATCAAGCCCCGCATCGGGCTCCCTGCTCAGCAGGAAGCCTGCTTCTCCCTCTCCCACTCCCTCTGCTTGTGTTCCCTCTCTTGCTGTGTCTCTCTCTGTCAAGTAAATAAATAAAATCTTAAAAACGAAAAAGGCAACATTTATAAACAGTTTACAGGAAAATTAAATATGGCCAAAAACATATAAAAAGATGGCTATTCTCATTCAAAACTAAAGAATTACATACTTTTTCACTTCCCAGATTATATTTTATTAACTTTTGCTTATGCTATCAAGAGTGGAAATAGGAACTACCATGTATTTAATAGGTCAGGTTGACAACTGACATAACCTTTTGGAGGGAAATTAGGTAATATAAATTTTTTAAAATGCAGACTGCAAATACCTTTCAACCTAGCAATTTACCCTACATATAAGAAGGTCCTTTGCAACATCGTTTTTATAGCAAAATAGTGGGAAAAGCCTGATATCCAAAAATCTGGATGAATCTACAGAGATTTATTGCTGAGTGTATAGAGCCAATCCCAGGTCACATACTCGTAATTCCACATACATAACATTCTTAAAAGGACAAAATTACAGACATGAAGGACAAATTAGTGGCTGCCAGGGGTTAAGGGGGAGAATAAGGGTGGGAGAGAAGAGGGTGTGGCTACAAATCATAAGAGATTCTTGTGGTGATAAAAAAATATTCTGTATCTTTGTCTATATCAATATTAATATCCTGGTTGTGAAAATTATACTAAAGTTCTGTAGATGTACCACTGAGGGAAACGGGGTAAAGGGTATAGAGGATCTCTCTCTATCATTTCTTACAACTGTATGTAAATCTACAATTATCTCAAAAAAAAAAAGTACAATAAAAAAAAGCTTGGCATTCGTCAACAGGGAACTGATAAACCATAGGACATCAATTCAATGTGGACATTAAAATAAAGGGCAGTTGATCCAAATGTGTTGATACAGAAAAAAAACATAAATAGAATGAGTTGAATGATGGTGAGGTGAAAGGATGGTACAGAACAGCGAATATATATTCTGACCTCTTGTATCAACAACAAAAAATATTTGCATATATACTAATTTATTGGGTATCTTTTCAGGAAAAAAACAACAACGGTGGTAACCTTAGGGGATCAGGGAACAGTGAGGGTTGGGAAAAGCTTTTTAACCATATGCATGTATCACTTAAAAATTCTAAAAAATAGGGGCGCCTGGGTGGCTCAGTTGGTTAAGCGACTGCCTTCGGCTCAGGTCATGATCCTGGAGTCCAGGGATCGAGTCCCACATCGGGCTCCCTGCTCAGCAGGGGGTCTGCTTCTCCCTCTGCCCTCTTCCCTCTTGTGCTGTCTCTCATTCTCTCTCTCTCAAATAAATAAAATCTTCAAAAAAAAATTTTTCTAAAAAATATTAATAAGAGTTACTTGGTAGATAGACTAATAGGCCATTTCAAATTTTTGTGCATGTGAGAAAAGCATAAACAAATGCTATTTAGGAAAAGAACTACTGGCTTAGGCTTGCTTGGTTCTTTGAAGAGAAAAAAAATATTAACCTCCCCCAATAAAAGGAACATGCCGATTTCTCATGCAGCCCCCAGGATCTCCTCTTTTACCATTTCTGCAGATCTTTAGAATGGTGTAAATGAGTTACAATTTTAAACTTCACCTTTCTTTGCTGTCATCACATGACATTTATTGAGCATCTCTTATGTAGCAGATACTGTGTTAACCCCAGGGATAAAAGCTGGATAACAGCCTCAAGCCTCTCTTGCGGAAGTAAACCAAAACAAAGAGATGATTAGGATATAATATAGTAACCACAGGGTATTACAGGAACACTGAGACGGAAGATCTAACCCAGCTCAGGGGATGGAGTGCTGGGAAAAAGCAAAGTCAGGTTAGGCTTTCTTTAAAAAAGGTCTGAAAGGGGCGCCTGGGTGGCTCAGCCGGTTAAGCGTCTGCCTTCGGCTCAGGTCATGATCCCAGGGTCCTGGGATCAAGCCCCTCATCGGGCTCCCTGCTCCGCAGGAAGCCTGCTTCTCCCTCTCCCACTCCCCCTGCTCGTGTTCCCTCTCTCGCTGTGTCTCTCTCTGTCAAATAAATAAATAAAATCTTTAAAAAAATAAATAAATAAAAATAAAAGAGGTCTGAGGGTCGCCTGGGTGGCTCAGCCGGTTAAGCGTCTGCCTTCAGCTCAGGTCATGATCCCAGGGTCCTGGGATCGAGCCCCAAATCGGGCTCCCTGCTTAGCAGGAAGCCTGCTTCTCCCTCTCCCACTCTCCCTGCCTGTGTTCCCTCTCTCACTGTCTCTCTCTCTCTCTGAAATAAATAAATAAAATCTTTAAAAAAAATAAATAAAAGAGGCCTGAACAAGGTGTTAAAGCTCACTGGGAAACAGCTGGAAAACACTGTAGTTGGTGGACTTTATTTTTCACTATATTAACTTTATGAAATGTGGACAAAACAAAGGCAAGAACACCAAAGACCAACAGGAGATTTTTAACGAATACATTCTCCTTCTGTCATTTTAAATGGTAAAGTACAAGTGCCTACCAGATCGCTGTCAGATTTCGTTCTCCTTGTCCAGGTACTGCCTGCTGTTGGGCAAGCTGAGGAAATAACCTGTGCTTCTCTCAGCTTACAAGGTTTTTCTACTATCTATTCCTGATCCTCCAGAATTTTACACTCTTCTTCCTCCCTGCTTCTCGGAATCCCATAGGACCAAAGCACTGAGACCTGGACTTGTCATCTCCATCTCCAGTCTCAAGTACCAGTCAGCTCCCCACCCCAAATGCCATCCCTTTCCCAGAACAGATTACTGTCCAGCCAGGATGGAAATAAAGGCACAGAAGGAATACTCACAAATGTAAATACAACTCTGTGGGATATTTTCTGAATGTTTCTCACAAGCTAGCATTGTTCGCATCTGTCATAAAGACTCCTGAAAATACTTCCCAAGCATCCTAAGGCACTAGTATATACAGCAAACAATGAGAAGACATAGGTGTAAGAAGACAGTTGCTTTGTAGGGTTTTTGGGGGGGGAGTGTAATTATATTTTACAAAAACAATACATCTGGCTTTTGGGGTTGAAGAGAATTTCCATTTGTTGTCATTTTTACCCTTCTCTAGTAGATACAATGCTGGTCGAAGCAATTATTTCTCTATACACCTTGGATCTAAACACAGAATACCTTCCATAGTGTCTGAATGGCACCTGCCCAAAGGAAGACCTAAATTGAGATGCTCTGATTTATAGGAGATTAGACCACGTAAAGCGGATTATACCTTTCTCATTCACTATTATTATTTTAACACCTGGCATAGCACCTTGTACACTGCAGGTACTCATACATGTTGAGTAAATAAGCATATGACTATCCAACTAAACCACCTAAATAACAGCTTGGAATTAACATGTATTATTATTTTTTTTTTAATGAGAAAAGTTCATTTTAACTTTCCTTGACTTCAGTGTACTACAACCGGGGTTCTTTCCAGTTCTACGATGCTCAAGTTTACTGATTAACATAAATTATTCAAAAAAGTGTGGCCTTTGTGTCAAATGTGGCTTACACACGGCTTAAAGATAAAATAAAGACAACCCAGGGTAGCATGCCACAGGTGGCCCAAGGTAATTTTCAGTGCCATTCCCTCAGACCCTGTGCTAGCTCATCCTCTTGATAGTTCGTAAGCAACTTTAGTACAGGGTTGTGTCTTATTCCTTCAATCCTCCCCAGAGCCTAATACACAAAAAGTATTCAACAAGTCTGTGGAAAAAAAAAAATCCACTTCCAACCTCAACTGACAAAATTAATTCAGGAAATCATTCAGGATTAAAATTACACATAAAATAACTGAAAACCATGGAAGTCCATTAAGAAAAATCTTTTGAGGGGCCCCTGGGTGGCTCAGTCTGCCTTCAGCTCAGGTCATGATCCAGGGGTCCTGGGATGGAGCCCCACACTGGGCTCCCTGCTTAGTGGAGTCTGCTTCTCCCTCTCCCTCTGCCCCTCCCACTGCTCCTTCTCTCTCTCTCACTCACTTTCTCGCTCTCAAATAAATAAAATCTTTAAAAAAATAAAAATAAAAAATAAAACTAAAAGACCACATCTTAAAAAAAAAAAAAAAGTATATGGACAATTTTCAAAGTGGAAAACCTGAAACTCTCTTCCTAACATTCCAGAGAACCATTCCACAGTTGAGACTTTTTTGTGATAGGAAAAACCTCTTAGGGGGCTGAGGTGTCTTTAGTCCATCTAAGAGGCTGAATGTCAGAATTAATACGTAGCATTTAGAAATCTTAAACCTCAGAAAAGGGTACAGTTGGAACAACTGAAGTTAGAATTAGGTTTTCTAATCTAGTTAACCCGGCTTAAAAAAAAAAAAAAAAATCAAGATACAAGTTCATTATCATCCCAGGATCTCCCAACTCCAACAGTCAGCATCCCTTTTATTAAAGAGTCAGTGCTTTGCTTCTCTCTCATTTTCTATACATAACAAATGGCTATCTCCACCCTTGGTGAAAATGAGTCAAGTTAGGGATAGTTTTGATCTGGTCTCTCTTCTGGTTATCAAAGGGGCAGAGATAAATCCTTAAGCTGGGATATGACAGAGTAAAACTGTTACTTAAGAGCAACAATACGCAGACTTTGCATTATGCCAGAAAAGTGAATTCTCCCTACCAACATCTATTAAATATATTAAGTGTACTTTCTGCCTTACATTTGTTGGAAGCAGCAGTTAATTCCTACCTTAAGGCATTCTGAACAGCCCGCAAATCTGAGGGTCTCAGGGAAAATAAGTTATGGGCTTAGTGCTTCTATATACCAAGCCCTGTTCTAAAGCTCATGTACAGTATCAGCTCATTAATCTCACAATCCCCGCCCCCACAAGGCACGTTCCATTATTATTATTCATTCTACAGATGAGGAAATTGGGAAACAGGAAAATTAAGTAACTTGTCCAAAGTCTGACTTACAGCAAGTTAGTGGACAGGCTGGGGAGTTAATGTACAGATGTGACATAACAGCCAATGCAAGAGCAACTACAGAACAAGGAGGGCTACTCTGCCCAAGAGAAAGGCAGCACACACATCTGTTTAAGCACAGTATCAAAGTCATGTTCCACCTTCCCTCTCCCAAATACCGCGCCCCACCCCCTTCCTCATTTAAGTTGCAGGTTCTTCTGATACACCCAAAGGAAGAAACTAAGAAGTTAATTAACCTCGAGCAAATAAGCAAACGCGCCCTTTCTGGTCTGGAAACTAGCGACCGCACTTCCCAGGGAGCTGAGATTTATACAAACTGGCACAAAACACTGCAAGGAAAAGTCCGGGATCGGAGTTACCTTGTATCGAAGCGCTTGATGAATGTCTGCGGCCAGCTGTCCCCGCCACCACTGTCCCTCCAGCTCCATGGGACCGGGCGGCGCGCCTGCCCAGACGCGGCAACTTCAGTCTGTAAGACACACCCCAGACGCGGTCACGGCCAGCACCCTCCACACGACCCTCCGCGCCCCCTCCTCGAGGGGTGTGCCCTCAGGCCGCCCTGGGTGGCTGTTCCTCTTCACCCGCCTCGACCTAAAGCTAGCACCGATGCAAACCAATTCCCCGACGCCGCGCATAAGGCCCCAGTCAGGAGGAGCGGGCTCACGCTGAGAACTGCCGGCCTGGGTGCCGGGCAAAGGGGTCCAACTTGGGCCCGAGTTCCCAAGGCGCGGCCCCGGCGGCGCGCACGGGAAGCTGGAGGCGGAGGCCCGGCTGAGGGCTCCCCGCGTCCCGGGTTCGAATTCTCCCGTCGGCCGCGGGGAGCCGAGAGACTGACACCAGTCGCAGACCCCCTGAGGAGAAAACCTCCCGCGGACAAACCGACGGACGCAAGCCCGCCTGGCTCCGGGTCCCGGCTGCAGGAGCCCGGGAGCTCGTTCCTCCCGGGGGGCCTCCCCGCGGTCCCGCCGGGGCCGGCGCACACCCAGGCCGCCGCCTCCTCGTCCGGAGCAGCGCAGGGGATCGCGCGGCCCCAGAAAGGCGAACAAAAGGCCGGGCCGGGCGGGTCCGGTGTCCCGCGCCCAGCACAGGCCTGCCGGTCCCCACGGCGGCCTCCCTTACCCGGAACCGCGGCCCTCACAGCCCCAGCCCCGCCGGCGTGCCTGGGGCGCCGGCCCCGCTCATGATGCGGACAGTCGGCCGCGAAGCGCCGGCCTCAGCTCGGGCCCAGCGCCGGGGCGCTCGCGCCGCCCATTGTTAAAGGACCGGCAGGCGGCTCCGCGTACAAAGCCAGCGCGGGGGCACATGCGGCCCCGCTGCTGCCAATCTCGTCTCGCGATACAGCCGGGTCACCCTGAGCCGTCCAATCGGCGGCCGGGCCGGGCCCAGGTGCAGCGGTCGGCGGCGGCTCGGCGGCCCTGGCCGGGACCCGGTAGCAGCAACCCGCGCCGCCTCGGCGCGACCCGGTGCTCGGCGTTGCCCGACATCTCCGCCACCGCCTACCGGGAAGCCGGCCCGAGGGGCGGGCAGAGGTCGGAGGAGGGCGCCAGACAAATTACAACGTTGATCATCATTCCGCGGGCCAATCTGGTCATGCCACTCACCTGCTGAGAACCTTCGATGGCTCCCGATGCCCGCAGAGGAAAGTTCTGAAGCCTCAGTTTGGCGTTTAAAACCTTTACAGTGTGGATTGAATCTGCTTTATCTCACATCACAACAGCCCCGTATACATCCTAGGGGCTGCTCAGTGGGATTATTAATCCCTCCACAAATGCTTTAGCCGTTTCCAAAGCTCCTAAACGGGCTTGCTCTTTGAAATTCTGCTAAGTTCCACCTCAAAACCTATTCCTGCTTCTAGAAACGTAATTTATCATTCCCCCTCTTTATTTCCTTTGCTTTAGAGATCCCCAAGAGCTTTGACTAGAGATTACCTTTAGTAACCTAGTTTGTCAAATCCAAAGTGGATGTAATTTGCCATCTGTGGTCTTAAATCAGCAAACTACAAAACTGTGGAAACACTCCAACATCAAGTAAGGTGATATGGAACCTGGAATATGATTCGCAGAAATCTAATCAATTGTATTTTAACCTTTTTGGTGGAATATCACAACAGAAGTGCATGGTCAACCCAGGACAGTGATGCTTGCTTTTCTGAGAATGTGGATCAACCTCATTTAATATTTAAAAATGAATCATGGAAACTTCCCCCTTTTACTTAGAATTCTTTGTCCTAAAAGAGGCATGCTTATAGCTACTATAAAGTGAGGAATGTATGTTACATAAATCAGTCTTATTACCACAATGACATCTTGATATATTTGAAGAGCAGCTGCAGATACGTATGTGAGACAATGCTTAAGCCCAGGAGAGCAGGGCTACAAGAACTAATGGCAAGACAAGGAAAACTCAGAAGCAGAGCTCGGCAGAACCCAGCCTAGCCCAGTGTTGTCCAGGGAGAGGCTGCCCAGGCCTATCTCAGTTGCAGGGTTTCCCTAGAGAGGAGAGGAACACATCCAGGCCAAAACCTCCATGCCATTTATAATGGTGTTTAAATAGTACCTACCTCCTTAGGTTCTAATTCATGTGCACTAAGCAACTTTATGACAGTAATTTGGCATCCCAATAACTTAAATGTGCAGGGTCTAGTTAAGAACCCTTTCAGAAAAATAGGTCACAGACTGTAATCATCAGTATAATAAGTAGGTTGTCTCTCATGGCTTACTTTGAAGATGTTATTCACTGGGAGATATTTGTTCACAAAGAATTCTCAGATTTTCTGGATTTACCTATGATGAAAGGAACTTAATGTTCATTCATTTTATAAATTTGTGTGTGGGTATGTATACACACATATATACGTGTGTATATGTATATATACACTTTATATATATATATATATATATACACACATATATATATATATGAATTTGCCCTAGTATGTCTTAGATTATAAATCCCTAAAGTGTAAAACTCAGGTTTATTATGATTTCCTCATTAATTCCTTTCGGGCAAGCTGGACACAATTAGGTATTTACTTAATTCCTTAATGAAGTCTGGTTTCATAGAGTTTATATTCTAATGGGGAGAGAAACACAGTAAGTGAGCAACAACAAAAAGTCACATGGTGACAGGTGCTGTGAAGAAAAATAAACAGAAATAGAGAATAGAAAGTGACAGTGAGCAGACATTGTTTTACCATAAAGTGAGGTGTGCAAAGGCCTGAGGGAAGTGAGGAAGCATGCAGATATCTGGTGGCTGAGTGTTCCAGGCAGAGGGAACAGCAGATTCAACAGCCCTAAGGAGAAGGCATGTTTGGAATGAACATGGAGGTCAGTGTCTGCCTGGAGTGAAGAGATAGGAAGCACTTGGAAATCTTGGAATCAGCAGCCGGCAAAGGTATGAAAGGATGGAAGTAAAAAAAAGACAGAACTTCTACACAATGAGCAGAGTAGAGAACTCGCAAAGGGTCTGTTGTGCCTGCTGCATAAGGCGCAAAACGGATTAGGCAAAAGATGAGGGCAGGACCAGATTCTCCGGAAAGCTTTTAAAACTCATGAACTTTAGGCAGTGAAAAGCAACTGATGTTAAATTGTTTTTAAAAAAAAAAAAATTTTTTTTAATGAATGTATGCAAAGGTAATACATTCAAACTGAAAACTGTATACTGTGACTAGCAAATCTCCCTCTCTCCTCTAATCTCAGTTCTTCCTACAAGCAACATTAATACCATTTTCTTTTGTACCATTCTAGGGATATCCAGGTACTTAAAACCATGCATATACATAATGCATGCCTCATTTTGTGCAGAAATAATCACACTTTACACTCTCTGTTGTGTACCTAGTTTTGTCATACACTATATTCTGGTGAACATTCAATAATAGAACATCCAGGATTCCTTTCAATGGCTACATTGTATTCCACTGGATGCAAAGGACTAGAAGCCAGAAGCCCTGAGCTCTGGTTCTCAGTTCTTGATTTATTGCTTCCAGTTAGAGTACGGGTATTTTATCTCCTCTGAGACTCAGGTTCCTATCTATAAAGTGAACTAGATGATGGCTGAGATTGCTTCTGACTTTAACATTTTAGGTTCTTTGCTCTTGCCACACACATGACAAAGTCTTCTGTGGGGAAAGAGACCTGACACTAGCCATAAAGCTCTGATCATTATCCAGTTTTAAAGGTTTTAAATTTAAAATGTTTCCTGGCAATTCATGTCTGTACACCCATTAAAAGTCAAATATTTCTAAAAGGCATATAATGGAAAGCAACCATTCCTTGTTCCACTCCCTCCTCACTCCCAATTCCCATTCCAAAAGGTAACCACTTTGATCTCTTTTAGCTATTTCTCATGGTGTTTGCTATCATCTTTCAAACTGTCATGTTTATATTATGATTTCAATTTGTCATTTTTAGATATATTTACATATTGTCCTGGAAAATAAAGATTTAGATGCCATACGTTACCTTTCACACACACATTTCCCCCTTCCTCCATCTCCCCAATATATAATTTTAAGATATTTTTTGTTACATCTACTTTCATTTGCTTTCATTGTTATGACTACACAAACATGTTCACTGTTAAGCCACATGGTGTCCTATAATTATACTTTCCTTTTCGTTTTCCTGGACTTTTTTTCCTTAGCTTTCGTCAAGCCTGTATCTTAAGTTTTCTACATTCTCCAATAGCTCTGTAAAATGTCTCCATTCAGCTTTCAAAATAGTCAAACCTTCAGATAATTTATTGGTTTTATCTTTCTGCTCTTGATTTATCCTCCTGGATCCATCTACCCTGATACTCCAGCTCTAATATTGATGGCTTCTCTCTAGAGCTCTATCTAGCTGCCTATCCTGGGATAGATTCCTGTTCCCAGGATCCCATGTCATTCTTTTCCTGAGTTTACAGAGCCCAGTAGCTTTCTGAGAAAGGGTACCTGGGAGGCAAATCTTTGAGACCCAGTATATCTGAAAATATCCTTAATCTCCCCCTCATCCTTGGTTGTTTGCCTAGGTACGAAATTCTAACATGGAAACCACTTCCCCTCATAATTTTGCATTTATGCTCTAATTAATGCCTTCTAGCCCTCTCATTTTCTGCCAAGGGAATAGGGAGATGGTGTAAGACTGGCTGATAATGTTTTGGAGGCTACATTGAAAAGCAGCCTAGAAGACTGTCCTCACTATAAACAGACTTTCACATGATTTCTCTGTTCTCAGTAAAACCCCTTTCTCCTTCCTACAGTTCAACCTCTTTAGAATATAAGCTTTCAGACTTCTAGTGTTGGTAAGTAGAGTTGCCTGGCTACAAAGGATGAGGAGGGAGATCTTACAGTTTAGTCATTCCTTTTAAAGACTTTTAACCAATCATCCTATTTTTAATTCACCTAGTATCTCTACCCCTGCCTCCATCTTTAAACTATCACAGGTCCTGGGGTATCTGGGTGTCTCAGTCTGTTAAGTGTCTAATTTTGTTCCAGTCATAATCTCAGGGTCCATGGATGGTCATGAACTCAGGGTCCATGGATCGAGCCTCGTGTCAGGCTCCTCCTCAGTGGGGAGTCTGCTTCTCCCTCTACCCCTCCCTCCGCTTGTGCTCTCTCAAATAAATAAAATCTTTAAAAGAAAGATGTCACAGGTCCTGAGTTTTCAGAGGTTCTTGTTGACTTTGGGAAGTCCCAACATCCCTGAATCTATAGCCACTTTATTTTCAACTTTCTCTGCTCTGGTAACTTGGTTATCATGGGTCTATCTACTTTCTAGTTTCTAAACTTTTATTCACTCTTGTGGTCCACTTGAGAGGGAGTAGAATAAATTCTGTGTTCAATCTGCTATATTTAACTTGAAGTTGAATTATTTCCAGTAAAAGTCTTACATTTCGTTCTTGACTTTTTTTGATATTTCAGAAGTATGTTTCATAACTACAGCTCTGTTGGTTCTACCTCCAAAATATATCTTAAATTGGTCTACTACTGTATTAGGTTTCCCAAGACTGCCATAACAAACTACCAGAAATTGAGTGGCTCAAAACAACAGAGATTCATTCTCTCACTGTTCTGGAAGCTAGAAGTCTGAAATAAAGTTGTCAGCAGGCTCCTCTGAAAGCTCTAAGGAAGGATCCTTCCTTGCCTCTTCCTAGCTTGTGGTGGCTCCTGGCAAATCCTTGGTGCTCCCTGCTTGTAACTACATCATTCTAATCTCTGCCTTCCTCTTCACGGGACCTCCTCCTCTGGTGTCTGTGTCCTCTCCTCTTCTTGAAAGGATAGTAATCATTGGATTTAGGGCCCACCCTAATCCAGGATGACCTCATCTTAATTATATCTTTCTACATATATATATAAAGGAGGAAAGGTAAAGAAATCTATATGGTG